TTACTTGCTTTATTATTTTGAAATTTTATTTATTTGACATTATTTTCATTTTATAATTTAATTTTTTTTGCTTCTAAGATTCTAACATTCATTTACTACCACGCAAATAAAAAAATTTTGTTTACAGAATGATGAGAGGTGGGCAGTGGTGGGAGTCAGCACGTTTTAGATGGTGGTCTCATGATGATTTACATATGATGATGGTAGTGTAGGAAGAATCAGCTCGTTGGCTGTTCGACTGATACTCTGAAGTTCGGATGGTATTTTGTGTGCCGACCAGATGGTGATGGTCGGTGCAATGGAAAGTACAGTAACGACGATTTTTGAAGTAAGTTTTAGTTTCGTTTTTTATTTTTCTCATTCGTTCATTTTATCACTCAACCTTTTAAATTATTCTTCTATTAATTGATTCGTTAATTCATTCTATTCATTAATTGAATCATTGATTTATTAATTAATTAATTCATTCACTCATTCATTCAACCAATTATTCAATCATTCAGTTAATCATTTATTCGATCGTTCCTTTGTTCCTTGATTTACTAATACGCTATTAAAAAAATGTCTACAGAATGATGAGAGGTGGGCTGTGGTGGGCATCAGCACGTTTCAGATGGAGGTCTCGTGATGATCGTTCCGATGACAATTCGAAGATAAAAACAACTACGGTTTTTGAAGTATGATTTAGTTTCTTTTTTTTATTTTTCTCATTCATTCATTCATTTTATCACTATCTTTCAAATTATTCCTCAGTTAATTTATTCATTGATTCATTCTATTCATTCATTAAATCATTGGTTGATTAATTAATTAGTTAATTTATTCATTCAACCAATCGTTCAATCATTCAGTTAATCATTTATTCGTTCGTTCCTTTGTTTCTTGATTTACTACTTCGCTAATTAATAAAAACTTGTCTACAGAATGATGAGAGGTTGGCTGTGGTGGGCGTCAGCACGTTTCAGATGGTGGTCTCATGATGATCGTTCCGATGATAAATCGATGACAATGTTAAAGGTAAATTTGTTTTTGTCTCATTGTACCTTTGAAAGTACTCGAATTTGAACAAAGATTGAGTGTTATCTCAAAAAGATAAGTTGCCTATTTTTTCCAATTGCTTGTTTTTATTTTAGTGAATTAATTTTTTTTTCAATTTGTTTTTCAGTATCCGGTCAAATTCATTCCTTCGATGCGTGTCAGATGATGGTCGGTGCAATGTAGGTTCGTCGGTAGTGAGTGAAGTTTCTGGAGAGTGCGCACCCGCACATTTACATACACACACATCAATACAACACATACATACACAACATCCATTCATTCGGTGTAGATTGTTGCTATGTTTCTCTTCAACTTTATATTTTCTTTACCGTGAACCGGGCTTTAATTTAATTCATAGGTAAGTTAGGGACTGAGATGAGTTAAACAATTATAGGTAGGCTAGGGCTTAACATTAGTTAAAAAGCTTCAAGTAAAATAAAAACGCTAAAATATGTTAAATAAAATACTTGAAACATCTAAAACGAGAAATACAAATTTTTAGGTAAGTGAGTTGAGTCAATGTTTATAAGTTTATAAGCTAGGGCCCTGAGAGTAATTTTATTATAGGTAGGTGACTGACTATTATTCTTGCAACTTCTTACTAGTTTTGTGTGATGTGTTTGTTTTCGCTTCACAACACCACACCAACAAAAACTACATTTCATTCTCGTCGTCGCCTTAAATTGTACCTTTTTGAACAATCTTTTTAATAATTTCTATTTATTTATTCATTACTTAGTATATATGCATGTCTATTTATTTATTCGTTACTTTGTATATATGCATGTATAAATTATTTCTGTTTAGTTTGTTGATTTAGTCATTATGATATGTTGTGAAATGTTCTTACTAAATGTTCATGTTACGTGGTTTATTATCCTTCGAGAACTTCTAAGGAGTGTGTATGATAATAATAATAATGGATAATAATTATTTTTATCGGTCGATATTTTGTTATATTTGTTTATTTAAAATACGAATTTAAAAAAAAATTGACATTTTAAAATTTTAATTAACCGTCACTTTTCATTTTTGAATGAATTCAAATAAAAGCAACTACTGTGTTTTTCTTTCTTTACTAAAATCTCGAAATTGTTTGTAGATCTGTATGGTTAACTTTGTTCGAGTTTGAACAGGCCTTGCAAATTTTTTTATTTATTTTTGTTTTTATTTTTGTTTATTTGGTTCATTCAATTTAGTTGATTGATTGATCTGTTGATTGATCGGTTGGTTGATTGATTGACTGACTGACTGACTGACTGGCTGACTGGCTGGCTGGCTGACCGACCGACCGACTGACTGATTGTTTGATTGATTTATCTCATAGTATTGTATACATGAGAAAAAATCCTATTAAGCCAACCTACGGCTTCAGTACGCCACTGTTTTTCACCTGACAAAAGCAATTTCTATATTTATACTGACAAAAATAATTTTGATATTAATTTATTGATTTATTTAAAGCATTATATGTACAAAAAAGTGCTATCGTAAGAGTTCTATGAAACCCTGTAAGCCACTGCTGTAAGCCAACGTATGATTTCAGCAGCCAGTTTCTTATGAGCACCAGCAGAATGTAAAATATTCATTGAATATAATGAAGATAGTTGTTCAAATAACAATTTTGATTTATTTAGGCCGTTTATTTCATAAGCAAACCAATTTTTAACATGATCGAATAGTTTAAAAAAAAGGTGACTATAGTTCAATCCTACTAAGCCAACCTTCGGCTTCAGTAAGCCCCTGGATTTCACCGGACCAAAAGCAATTTTTATATTCAAATTAACAAAAATAATTTAATAATACATAATTCTATTAATCATTATTAAAATTAAATAGAATTACAACAATGTTTTTAGCATATTAAATCAAGTAAATATTTCATTTAGCTTGCTCGTTAAAATCCATGCAATTTTGTAAGCCAACAATCCAAGCACGACAAATAGCCCGACCGATAGATCGAATTGATCGATTAGTCCTATTATTCTAGTTATGTGGTTTGGAGCAAGGGGAGACATTACTGAAAATAATTAAAAGTTGAAAAAATTGAGGTTCTTTGCATATCCCTGCTTCAACCCATAAGAAGGTGTTGTATGCTGGTAAATAGGCCTCCCCTTGGGCTTAGGCATATATAAAAAATATATACGGCTAAGGTTTAGAGAAGCAAAATATTTTGATAAATTTATAAAAATAAATATTTATATCAAAGCACAATATAATTAATTATGACATCTAAATTGATTTTAACAACAAAAATTTTAATTATTTTTACAACACAAGAACACTGAAGAATTACCAAAGAACAAACATAAAAATTTCAAGGCGAATTCCGGTATGCAGATAAATCTTGTTTATTTAATTATTAATTCGTCTTTAAAAGTCGGTTTTTTTAATTTATTCTTTTGCTTCGTTCTTCAAAAAAAGTTCTGAAACGATCTAAACTTTTGTTGAATTCAATTTTAGTCGGGACTTTTTTTGAAATCTAAATCGTGAGTTTGCCTTTTTGTGTTTATTTTCAGAGCACACAAAACCAAAAAAATTCTTGCTTGTGTAATCAAATTGTCACTAATCTATAACCTGTTTTAAAATGTGATCGTTTTTCATTTTTTATTCGATAATTAGACTGACCATATAACCAGGGTAATATAAATATTTCATTTGGGATATTTGGCCTTCTACTCTGTTACTCTAGGTTTAGGAATAAAATCTACAATACAATAGGAATAGGATGCACTTGGCTACTTACTGGCTACTGCTTTTAAAAAACTTTAAACTTTTAATACTAATTTAAAATTTAAAAAGCTTAATTGTTGCTGTTGTTGGGGCATATCTCAGCATGCACTTGGACTTGGAGGGGCTACTTTGTTTTTTATTTTTTGAACAATTTTTTAAAATTAAAATTGCAAGTAAATTCCGTTTTAATATTTATTCCAGTAAGTAAATTAATATTTTCAGAGTTAATCTGATTCCGGAATGACAATCATGATGATGATCATACTGTCATTTTGTCAAGAAGATTTTTAGCAACCACATTTCATAACAACTTTCTACATTTAAAGAAATAAATTTTTCCAAATTATAATAATAGAGTTTTCTTTTTTTAATTGGATTGGTAATTAAATCAGCAACCAATAGCACAAGCTTTGCAACTCAACAAATATTGCTTGTGATAACGATCACCCACAAAGACAACAAAACAACATTATCTATCAACATGTCTGGTAAACACATACCACCAGATCAAGTATGTTTTACTGTTTTTGTTCATTTATAAAATTAATTTTACAAATATATATTTATAGTGCATTTGTACTCTGTAAAAGTCTTTTTTCCTTTTTTTGATTTCAATATTTATCTGTGTCCTACACTAATACTATTGATAAAATTTCCACAATGAATATTTCCTTTAACAAACCAGGTTATTTTAATTCTAACTTTAATCTTAGGTAAATGGGGCACACTTGGAATGCCTAGATTTTACCTTAATACAAATTCATAACTTAAGCTCATTTTAAATCTCAACTTTTAAGTTCCTTTTTAAAGACTTTGAAGCACAAAATAAAATGCATTACAACACTCCATTAGATTAGCCATGTTAGTTAGATTATTATCATAATGACTGACATCTTTATCACAAAGGAGAATTGTGCTATGCCGATAGCCATAACCTTGATACAAGAATGAGTTTTTTCATTCACACATTTAGTTATGGAAGTTTAAAAACATAACTTTTGTGTATAATACCAAGAGTATGTTTCTGGTTGAATTCATCAAAAGGAAACCATTTTTCTGATTAATTTATGAAATAATTCATGAAATGATCATTTCATTCATTAATTTTTATTAGCTCCTAGTCTCAATATTTTTTATATATTTTACTTTAGCCTATGATGTTATTCACATCTAGGATCTGTAATCTCATGCATGTTTAATTTTTTAAAAATATTTATCCTTTCCGATTCCAGATCAATTTAAAATTAATCCTCGTCTCTGGGAAGACGAAAGAGTTTCTATTCTACCCGAGTGATTGCGTCGGAGTCATTACACAACACGTCTACGAAAACTGGCCTTCTGGTTACCTTCCTTTTTTGGCTTTTTCTATCATTATTATATAATTTATATTGTTATGTAATTATTTATTTCATGTCTTTGTTTGGGAGATTTAATTAGATTTTTTGTAGGTTTTCTTATAAATAAACTTTGTGGTGAATTTTTATGTAAATTCATATTTCTAGCAAGGTTGATTATATTTTAAAATTAATCTGTAAAGTCATTAGATCAATATATTTACAATGTATTTTTCTCTGGAATGCACTAAACTTTGATTGAGTTGTACTTCAAACTTCTAATACATACCAACAATAACTTTAAATTGATACAATTGGAACAAATCAATGTCTGTATGTCATGCACGTTGATGCTCTTTTGCATGCGTTCGTGTGTGTTTGTGTGTGTGTGTATGTGTGTGTGTGTGGGTCTGTATGTTTTTGCATGTCTATTTTTATGTCTTTTTACTTTTCTTCTCATATTATGATGTCTATTTCCATAGTCTACTTACTATCTGTTTGTACTCTTTGCTTATTTGTGTCTGCTGTGTGTTGTGCGTGTGTGTGTGTGTGTGTGTTTATAAATATTTATAAATTTTCCTGAAGATGACATAGTTGAGATTAATAATTGTGAGGTCACTAAGAAATAATCAACGTCCTACCTTGGGAAACCGGGTCTCTGGACGCAAAACGAAGATTGATTGATTGACTAAGAAATAATCAACTCTATACTTCAGTGAAAAGACTACAGACCAATAAAAATCACAACTGCAAACTAGTATAAAATCTAATAAAATTCCAGACGCACAGTTATTTGTTCTTATGTTTAGTTCATTAACAAATTTTAGAATTAAGTTTTTTCAGCATTGGTTAATATTGTGTTGGTGTTGAATGGCGTTGAATGATTGATTTTGTTAAAAGGGTTTTTTTTTGTACTGTTTCATTTTGTGAACTTAAGATTGAGAAATTGATTGGACAGATGAATTAATTAATGAATTAATCAATAAAATGAGTATAATGAATGGGTGAGTAGTGAGTGAGTGAGTGAGTGAGTGAGAGCGAGTGAGTAAATGAATGAATAAATGTATGTAATGAATGAATGTATGTAATGAAGAGATTATTAGCTAAACAATTAACTAATTAATTAATTAAGGATGGATTATTTGTTAAATGAATACATTAGGTGAATGAATGCAAAGAATGGATGGATTATTAATAATTGCTGATGAATAAAACCTGGATGCTTGAATTCTTAAAAAGAATAGATGAGTGGATCAATGAATGAATGAAAATGAATGAATGGATAGATGAATGAATGAATGAATGAATGAATGAATGAATGAATGAATGAATGAATGAATGAATGAATGAATGAATGAATGGAAGTTGCAAGTGCAGAACAATTAAACTAATATTAGGATGCAATTAATTTTAAAAAGTTGAATAAATGTCTGCTGAGTTAGTTCTATTAGGTATGACTGATGTGTGGTTATTATGAAGTGCTTAATGATACTTCTATATAAGTTGTATTGAAAAATTTAAATTATAAGTTTATATACAACAATTATAAACAATTGATGGTTTCTGCTAAGTTGATTATTCAGTAAAATTTCTTGCTTTGATTCCATCTGATAACCACCTTGTTTGTCTGGCAAGTTGTCCTACTGCTGTTGTTGTTTTTGTTTGTTTTTGTTGGGTCCTGCGAATGCAAGTCTACAATGTCTTCTCATGTCATTTCTCTAATAAAAACTTATTATTAAAAAAAAATCAATTTTTTTTTCACGGTGAATAATTCAAATATTTTTACTCTATTTTTGTAAATTTCTCTTGATTTTTTTTTTGACAAGCCAATCATAACTATAAATAACACTGCATACTTATCTCTCTGTGGTTATGAATGTGACATGCGCAAATATACAATAAAATAAATTAAGGATCCTTTATGGTCTGTTCTGTAGATACTATATATAGTATAGATGCTATATATTGTATAGATATTATATCTTGTATAGATACTACATCTTATATAGATTCTACATCTTGCAAAGATGTAGAATCTTGCAAAGATACTATATCTTGTATACTAGATACTATATCTTGCATAGATACTATATCTTGTATAGATACATCATATAAACATGCTACAAGAACATGCAAATGTATTTATTTTTATACTAGCCTTTGTATGGATATATATAAATTAATAATTTTATTAGCTATGCTGAAAAGCCAACAAGTTTTGATACATGAAATCATATGAAACCTTACAAATAACATCCAACCAAACAAGCTCATATGCATGTAATGGTATTAGTTGCATGCATGCATGCATACATGCATGCATGCATACATGCATTTGTAAATATAAATGTCGTAATTATTTAAAAAAAATTTTCTCTGGTGTTTTTTATCATATTTGAAATATGAACCTGAACCGTTTGATAAATAATTCTCTGGTGCCAGGTTATGAAAATTGATTGTTAAGTCAGCTATAATTTCAAATTATTACTATTATTATTAAGTGTTGTTGTCGTCGTCGTCATCGTTGTTGCTGTTGTTGTTGTCGTCGTCGTCGTGGTTGTTGTTGTTAAAGTCGTTTCTATCCTTTGTGTTATTGACATTACGTTTTTATAGCTATCACGTAATAATCATTACATTCATCATAGTTGTTATCTTATATCACATCAGCCACGGCTCTTGTATCATCATCTATCTATAGCACACATCATTTAAAACTTTTTTGTTTATAACGACTTTGCCTGGCTATGTCATCAACAGCAGCACATACAAGCCATTAGCAACAGTTACATTAAAAAACAGCATAACAACATTCAGAAGAGGTAAACATTTTATGAATGAATATCTACCTCATTTTAGCAGCATCATCATCGTCATTTGGTGATGGTATGACTGGCAAGATAGTGCTTAGCTTATATTATAAATGCTGTTCTGGAAAGCCTCATAGGTGGTCAGTTCTGATGGTGATTGCAATGGTTGTGATATGATTATGATAATGGTGACGATGATGACGATGTGGATGGCTTTGATGGTGATTATGTAGGTGATGATAATAATTATGAAGGTGATAATGATGATTATGATGGTAATGTTTTTGATGGTGAGGCTAGTGATGATAAAAATGATGGGGAATGATCCATACATCTGGGATGATGTTTATAATTGTGATGATGATATTGACGACGATGATGAAGATGATGCACACAGAAAAACACACACGTACACGCAAGCGCACATACATACATGCATACATACACACATACACACACACATACATACATACATACATATGTACACACATACATACATACATACATAAATGCGTGCATGCATTCACAAACACATACTTTTAAGCCGGGAAAGATATGGACAAATATTGTTTCTACAGAAATTCTAAGAATTTGGAATCATATGTGTGCTGCTATTTTCCTCATCAATTAGGAACTATGCAGTTTATAAATTTTCTTTCTCATATTAAAATTATTTTTTTATTTCTCTACCTTTTATTAGGAAAGCAGGTTTAATTTTCATCTTAATCAATTCTAAGAAATACTAAGAAAGTGGACATAAATTATATTCTCAAGGCAACAAGTATATAGAATATTTTTGAAAGTAATTATATAAATATGATTTGACAAGTAAACAAATTTTTGCTTTTATTTTTTGTGTAATAATATTACTAATCTTTTAGGTAGTTCTAATTTCTTGTATTGAAGTGTTTTGTGCTGTATTTTATTGTATTGTTTGTATTTTGTTGTATTGTTTTGTATTGTATTGTACTGTAGTGACGGGGCTTGAGTTGTATTGTATTGTCTGTTTGTCTGTTTATCCTCCATTTCTTTCTCTCTCTCTCACCCTCTCTCTTTCTCTATCGCTCTTAAACACAAAGTGATCTTAGAGTTGCAATATTAACAGTATAAAGTGTTTCAATAATTTTTTCTTTTAAAGTCAACCTTTATTATCAAATTTGAGAACACCATTCCTTAATCTTCTGTTCATTGTGTGGTCGTATGGACTGCTCGGACAGACGAACAAACACACATACATACCACATATGCACACACGCACAGGCACGCCTACCTATGTTTTATATGCTATATTTATTGGATATTTATTTGGTTTCTCATAAATTTCATGCTGCTTTCATTGTGTGTTTTTTATATTTTTCTCATTCAAAATAAACATATTTGTTAATTTAGCAACATTAAATTTCATTGTTTATTCTCTCTATCTCTCTCTCTTATCTCTCTCTATCTCTCTATCTCTCTCTCTCTCTCTCTCTCTCTCTCTCTCTCTCTCTCTCTCTCTCTCTCTCTCTTTGTTTTTTTTCTTGGTAGATGTAAAAATATTGAAATATTGTAATAGGAATAGATGAATTTAGGTTACTAATGCATTGGAAATGTAATCTGATACACCATCCTATTTGAATTCACATGTTCCACTATTTCCAACATTCTCTCACTGTCTCACTATGATGCTATCATCCTCTCTTGTGGAATGGACATGTTTGTCTATAGTTTTTGGCTTTTTGACTGATAACAATTTCTATTTAGTCATATTATTTCACCATTAAAATGTTTCAATGGTTTATTCGTTTAAAATGTTTTAACAAAATGATAAAATATTTCAATTTAATATTCTTTAAGATATAATGTGTCAAATTTTTTCTATTTCTGACTATGCTTACCAAAATATGGAAGAATTCATAATCTTTTTAAATAAATTCCTGGCTTATTTGAGTCTGGCCAAGCTCTATCAAAGAATCATGAATACATTTCAAATGAATGCTATCATCATTAAATTCAATATGACGTTTTTTAAGCAATTTGGACTCTCCTGGGTTTTTTTGCCATAAATGAAATTTTTTTCTTAAACTTTAATGAATATTTGAAAAGATTAAACTAATTTTTATTTTATTTAAAAATTTTTTTAAATTGAATCACACACGCACAATTAAATCACACACACCCATTTACAAATTTGTTTATTTATATTTTTTCTCACAATTCCCATTTTTACTATTTTTCTCAGAGGAGATATTCAATATACAATGCACACACATACGCGTGCGCGCGCGCACACACACTGCATGTGATAGATGGGGATTCCAATCACTGCAGCATCAGTGCCAGGCACATTAGAGCCATTGTCATTTATTACCTCGTATATGTATATATATATTTTATTTATACTGCTATTTATTTATTTGTTTATATATATATATATGTTATTTATTTATTTGTTTATTTTATTTCCAGGCTGGTCAGACGAAGTGTTACCTCCGCGCAACATACTTCGCCTCATATATCAGGGAAGGTTCTTACATGGGAATGTAACATTAGGAGGTTGGTTGACTGGCTGGCTAGCTGGCTGGCAGTGTTTTTGTGAATGTTTTAGCTATATTGTTTCTCTGCTTTCTTAGCTGTTTGTGGAGTGTGAAAATTTACATCTATTTTATGTAAGGTGTTATATGGATAGATAAAGAACTGATCTACTGCTTTATAAGTTGAATGGTTGTTTATTGGTTATTGAACAGTGATAGGTTGAAGTTTTAAATTGCTAAATGGCCAGCTGACTGATTGATTTGTTTTAGTTTACTCAATTGATTGATTGATTGATTGATTGATTGATTGATTGATTGATTGATTGATTGATTGACTGACTGACTGACAGCTCTCCATTTACATCCTGGTTCAACGACCGTCATGCACCTGGTCATGCGAGAACAGTTGCCAGAGCCGAACTACCAAGGTTTGGTTTGACTGCTGCCCTTAAATTTTCATCTAATGTAACTTTTGCTGCTACTTACCGTTGCTATTGGTGGTGGTGTCGCTTTAAATGCTTCTTATTTTTAAATGTAGCTGATGTTGTAGCTTCATTGACGCTCTAGAGTCGTTGTTGTTGCTGCTGTCGTCAGCTTTATATTTGTAGTTGCTAGAAACGTCTCGTAGTTGTTGTTGATTAAGTTTATGATGTTAAGTTTATTGTTAGCATGTAATGGTTGTTCAGGTTGGTGGTTTGTTCTGTTAGGTTTAACTTTTATCAATTGGAGTTAATGTTTTGTTTGTTCACCCTTGTAACCTGATATCACATTTCCTCATGTTTCTGCTGCTTTTATTGTGCATATAACATTTCATCATCACCGCTGAATTTTGTCGAAAATTTTTTTTCCTCTTGATAAACTGATAAAAAGTTAATGGTTTTTCATCTGAGGTTTTTTGTTTTTTTTTGTTCTTATTTTTTTTATATTTTTCTTCTACTGAAATAAAAAATGTCTTTTCTTTGTTTATTTTTTTTTGTTTCTCTTTATATAGTGAAAATGAAGAAACCAGGCATACATACATACACACACATACACACAACAAACACACACACATACAGCGCACAACAGCATTCTGTTTGAGTGTATAATAATATTAATAATGATAATATTCATTGGGCAATCATTTTATTTAATTAAATTATCTAATTCGTCATGTGATTCAACATTAGCATTAGCTAAAACATTAGCTCATGCCATTGTTTGCTTTGTTTTATTTAAATGTCAGTTTTTCCTATGGGCGTCTTAACAATTCATGAAGAAACTTGAGATCAAAGTTTTTGTAAATATATAAATGTAAATTTTGTAAATATTCCCTTTTAAATATACAAATGTTAAACACACACACACACACACACACATATACATACATACACACACACACAAACACGCACACGTGTTTTCCTAACTTGTTATTGTCCTGCTGGCTTAACATTTCACCTATTTTTCATTTATACACTGCATTTGTTGTTTATCAGTGTTATATAAACAGATTTTGTTGCTTCATTTGTCTTTCTTATGTATAAAATCCCACCAAATATCTCATTGGGTCATTAACTTAGATTTCATTGGCCTGTTTATTTTTCTACAAATCCATTGAGCTATAGCAGAAAACTTTTAAAATGATCTAGATGCAGTGATTGTTATTTAGCATTGAACCTAACTAAACACTTTTTGTTCTTATTTCTATTTGATTAACATGAGATCATATATTTCTTTACTGTACATGTAAAAATGCCTTATATTTTTCTTCAATGATTGAAATTAATTATTTGTTTTTATTATAAAGTTGTTGTTAATAAGTTAATAATGAGAATAAAAATTTAAAATTTACTTCTGGATGTATAAATTTAAATCTCAAATTTATAAATTGCCATTCCATTATAATTAACTTAATTGTGTGCAAGTGTATAAATATGATTAATAATTTTAACTAAAAATTTTCTCTTTCATTTGCTATCATCATTAAACACATTTAATGCATGCCAAGTTATTCATTAAGTTTTATTATTTATTACTCAATTTGATCACCAATTAAATTAAATGTTATTAACAATTAAGTAATTTTATACACTATGGAATTATGTAGATCAGTGTGCACATCATTGTCGTGTGGCTATTTATATATCACGTAACATAAACCTATCTCCTGTAATGTTTGTTAATGCAAGAGTCTAGTTTAGGTCAGTTGATTTGCTGATGAACAGCACGTTTTTCATTAGTTCATTACTAGATAGGTCATTGTTAAAAGTAGAATTTTCGTTTTTTTAAAATTTTCTGTTTCTCTCTAATTCTCTCTCTTTCTCTTTTTTTCTATCTATTTATTTCAATTCAAATAATCTTTTATTCAGTAAAGTATCATTAAATACATAATACTAGGAGACCCGAAGTTTGCACTTGTTGGGCCACCGAAACAGAAATTGGAATAAAATTCGAACAAAGATAAACAATAAGTGATAAAAGAAAGAAAAAAAATAGAACCAAACAAAATAGTAATAATTAATCGACAAAAACCTTAGGAACCAAATGAAAACAATAGCATAGTTACACAGGGAATTAACCGGTAATGAAAGAGGAAAAATGATTCGTTAAGATTAATTGATAAACTGAATTTTTAAATAAACCAGCAGTATTCAAATTTTTTATGTGAATTGGTAATAAGTCCCAAAGTCGACAAGAGACATGAAAGACGGAATTAATAAAAAAGTTAGTACGAGGTTTAGGAAAATAAAAATCTATATTATGTCTTAAAAATATTGATCGATTATTGTTTAAATGATTTAATTGGTGGCACAAGGAAGGACAAAAATTTAGTTTAAATAATTTATAAAAAAACATTAACGTGAAAAGAATGTGTAACTGGTAAACTTTTAGAATTCCAGATGATATAAACAAATGACTGATATGCTCAAATTTTGGTAACCCAAACAAAATACGAATAAAATAATTTTGACAAAGATTCAACATACGAACGTTAGATTTTGTTGTAAAACCCCAAATAGAAATACAATAGGTGAAAAATGGCAAAACAATAGAATTATATAGTGTTATTAAAATATGTCTTGGAAACCTTGATCTCAGTCGGTAAAGTATTCCTAAATTTTTTGTAGCCTTTTGTGAAATGAATTGAATGTGACTAGTCCAGGATAAATTGCTAGAGATAATGACACCTAAAAACTTTGTAGATTCAACCCTGTTAATGCAAACATTATTTAATAAAAGCTGAATATCAACAACACTTGTTCGAATCTTAGGTCCAAATAAAATAAAATTTATCTATCTATCTATCTATCTATCTATCTATCTATCTATCTATCTATCTATCTATCTATCTATCTATCTATCTATCTATATCTCCTCTCTATCTCTTCTTTTATCCATTTTTTTCTTCTTTAGTGAATTCAGTTCAACAATTTCAAAATCGTTTATTCACTTATTTAGAGAAGTTAACTCAGAAAGTAGTATGAAATAATGAAATTAAAGCCAAGATTGTAGCCAATTCATTCTAAAACATTTATTTAGATAAAAAAAATCAGTTCCCTGATCAGATTTTTAAAAACATGATTCTAAAAAAAGGAACAACTAGCCAACAAAGATAACAAATAGCAGCTAACACAACATAGATGTCTCGATTTAGCCTGTTACTACATCTATGAAAGCTATGCTAACACAAGTTTGGAATTGTTTATTGAAACATGTATGAATGTAGCACCAATTGAGGATAAACTTTCATTTCACGTCAGTTTATTCAGATCAGATGGTTAAATTCACAACACTGCAATGTAAAATGTTCCACCAATTGTTGTTTTTCATGATTTACTTATTATCATTCAATGGAATTAAATTTAGTGATAACACGTTTATCATGGGACTCTTTATGTTATTTGCTTATGCATTGTGTAATGAATTTTCTTAAAACTTATCTTGACTGAGCAGCTTTTTTTTATAAAAAGTTGATGTTTAATAAAAAGTTGATGTTTAAGCGTTTTTCAGATTAATTTTGATTTAATTTTTCATCCGGACACAATTATTTGTTTTGAGTGGTGTAGTAAACTAGTTTATTCACAAACACTAGCTGATAGCAAAGTAGCATGCGGTTAATAATGTGTAGGATATATCATAGAAATTGGACATGTTATTATTGTTGTGTCTGGTCATATCGTAAGGATATATTGAGAAATATATGTATATATACACGCAAATACACACAGACACTCACACAAACAAATACACACACCACACACAGACAAACACACACACACAAACACAAATCACACCAATCCACACCTTTGGTATCTTCACAACGCTTCGCGAATAGATATATATGCTAAAGAACTAAGAACGTTTTTCATTTGTATAGTTTCTCAAAGAAAAAGATTATATTTATTAAAAATTAGTTACGCGAATTTAAAAGAATCTTATTTTTTATAAATATATACACTGTTCATGGGTTCAGTTTAAAAAGAAACCCTGCAGAAACACCAGCTGATAGCAAATACAACTTATAATAGTTTTATAAAGTTTTAAAGTATTTTTCTACATCTCTATTCAATTGGTTTTTAATAAGGTGTGTTTTTGTAAGATTTCTTGCAGAACAATTTTCTTTTTGAAGTTCAGTTCTTTTTTTATTCTATAATTTTTTAATTCATTTAAATTAGTAAAAATTAAAATTAAATTAATTAAATCAATTTGAATGTATTTTTCATTATGCAGATGAATAAATTTGAGCTTCATTAATTAAAACTGAATGTATGTGATTTGATTGATTGAAATTGAATTAATAAAATTTAGCTAAATAAATAAATTAATTTAATTTAAATGATTAAAAAAATCTTTTTATTTCATCCCATGCAGCACTGCAGAAAGAAAAATCAAGAGAAGAGTGTTGTCCATACTGTTGTTGCTGTAGAATCTGTTGATCAACTGTGTTTCCGTGTGTGTCTGTCTGTGTGTGTGGTGTATGTGTGTGTGTGTCTGTGTGTGTGTGATGTGTGTGAGTGTGTGTGCGTGTTGGAATGTGTGTCAATGTGATTTTAATTCTAATTGTAATAATGAGTAATTGATTAATTGGTTCTTTTTTCTGGATGTTTGATTTGATCAGTTAACTGTTTGTTTAAATGCTGACTGGATTCGTGTGTCATTCACCTCTTCTTAATTTATTTTTTCGTGTTTTTCTTTTATTTTCTTATTTTTGTTTAATGTTTTCAATCATTCACTTATCACAAATTAAATCTGATGAAGATTGGAGATTCCTTTGTTTGCCTGTGTGTGTGTGCGTGCGTGCGTGTGTGTGTGTGTGTGTACGCGTGTGTATCTGTGCATGTGCACGTGTGTGTACGTAGGTATGTATGTGATGGGATGTCTGAGGTAATATTTATTAAACTTAAATATATGAATCTTTTTTAACAAATAAATATTTGTTATAAGTTTGTCTCATTATTA